TCCGCAGACCATGAGTGGGTGTCAGTCTCATACTGTAAAATCTCTATGTCCTATAGTATGCTTATCTTCACATATAGAATATTTTATTGGATATTTTTTATTTATTTATATTTCAGATGCCATCCCCATTTCTTCACCTCCTCAAGAAATACCCTATTCCAACCTCCCTCCTCACTTTTGTTTTTATACCATTTTAATAACATGTAAGTATTAAGTTCAGTTCTAGGATTATGAACTAGCAATAGGTGCAAATAGTCAAGGAAAAAGACAATAAAAACAAATAGTCAAAGAACAAGCAAGGCAAAAAACAAAGTTCCATGATCACTCCCATGATCACTATTTCTAAAGGCTTATCAGGATGACTAAAGTATCTGAGCTTACTTCTCTGTACTAGTCCAAAGTCATTTTAACTTCTCATGCCTACTTTGTTGTTCTAGTCTAAAATTTAGAGTCCTGCCTGACATTAACTTTTGTTCTAGCCTATTATTTAGATTCCTGCCTGAAATTACTTCTTTGTTTTAGCCTAATGTTATATTCCTGCCTAAAGTCTACTTCCTTTTCCTTGGCCAATGTCATATTCCTGCCAAGCAGCTCATTTCCTTGACCCTGGCCAATGTCAGGTTCTTGTCAAACAGCCCCAAAGCTCTCTGCCTCTCCCACTTTTTTATTTCATAAACAAGACTGAGCCTGTCTTAGGTCATTCTGACAAGAATGCCTTCTTTATCCAACATGGAATATACATTATCCTAAGCAATGCAGTTCTATCTTAGGTTGGAAAGGCTCTGTGCTGAATCTTACCTGTGCTTGGTTTGTCAGCCTGTTATTTTAGTAACTCTGTCTGGAGATCCATTTTCAGTTTCAAGCCATGTATTTTGGCTGGGAACATGTTGATTTTGTTAAAGAAAAGCTTTCACACTATGGGCAGGCATAAAAGAATTACCAGGAGAAAATAAGCTATCATGGTCAAGCTATATTTGCCATTTTTGAAGCTTGACCAAAATAGAAATACTGACTGTGGCATGGGTAATTTTATCAGCAATATCTGCTGCATCAATGCTCTGCAGAGCAGCAATCTTTAAATTTATAAGCTCACTATGTGAAGTGTAAATATCCACTAAGGTAGTAGAATTATATGAAATATCCTGCGGATGTCTTTAAACTTTTTCCTAGTTATAATGACTATCATTGTACATATCAGAAGTAACATAAATCCAATGGTATTTGGCACGACACTCAAGATTGCTCCTTACTCTTAAAATCTGAACCTCCTTCCAATAATTAGAATAAAATAAAGAGCATCAATCTGTTGTTCCAAACACCTATCTAAATCCTCTTGTGTACTGAACATATTAGTAACAATTTTTGCTAAATGATTAACAAAAGTCACTGTCTTAACATCTTGTGTCAAAGCAATTGGAGAAGCAGTGGTAGGAGCAATTAATGTAATTATTCCTGTTATACAAGCAATAATCAAGCCCACTAACCTCTTGCTTCTGCTTAAAGCCTGACTCACTTCTTCCCATACTTGCAAGCTTATTTCAGAAGACCAAGGTACTTTAATACTCCGGGAAATAAAACAAAAGCTGGTTGATAAGCTTCCATAACACATATGCCAGGTTTCAACAAACTAACACAATTGAAAGTGTACAATCAATGCAACTTAAATTAAGCACTGTAAAAGAAACAAAAATAATTTTAACATGACAATTAAAAGAGCCTTAACACATGTATTAACACTTTTAATGAAATCCGGATCCTATCTCAACTTTGTCTCTTGCTAACATAACATCACAGAGAACTGCAGCTAACTTCGAAATATATCTCTGAAAATGTCCAGAACCAGCCTTCCATATGAAGACTGTTATTTCCAATATTTGATTGATTTCTAGATCAATCCATGATTGTGCCTAAATAACTGGTCATATTTAAGAAAAATATAAGGGTTATTATAACTTCTCTTATTGATTTTCTATTCCACAGGGTCTAAAATCTTGAAGCAAGGCAGGTTGTCCCATCAGGGGTATATCCAGGCAAAGGTGGGTCAGGAACATATGTCCAATAGTGTTTCCCAGTCACTATTCTCAGGGCATTCAGCAAGCTCACAGGTCAGCATCATTCTTTTTCCCAATATCAGTATGTCTCACCACTCACTCTGGCATAGTCACATTTTTCACATTGTCGCATCATCACATCTGTCTATCATCATCTTCAGGCCATGAGTGGGTGTCAGTCTCAACCTGTAAAATATCTCTCTCCTATATAATGCTTGTCTGCACATGTAAAACTTTTACCATTCAACCATTCATGGAAACTCACACTATGTCTGGACACTTCTATGGCTATAACTTCCAATGGATAGCTTCTACCTTTACTTCCTTACATGCTTCTGTCACAACACAGCTTGTGTTCCTCTGTACTAAACTCAGACTACAGTATTTGTCATCTGAATATCTAGAAAGATATGGTGCTCATAGCATATGCAAGTTTGGGATGCATTGTACTTTTAATGACATGAATAATTATTTCTGAGTGAATATTCATTTTCACTGCATACAATAACACATATTAGGCAGGGAAAGAAGTCAGGTGCATATATATATATATATATATATATATATATATATATATATATATATATATGTCTGTGTATTTCAGATGAATTTGAGAAGTGAGCTCATATGCATAGAACAAAGGTAAGAAAACCCATGACCTTGTATATCTTTGATGCAAATAAATTCTTGAGGAGCTGAGCTGTCATAAATAAGTAAAATGAGGTTGTTTACTTGAATAGATGGTTTATATATGTGAGATCCATTCTTTATTTATAAGCTGGACATTTTAGTATTATTGTATTACTATTCTGGGAGTCATTGTGAAAAAGAAGCTGCAAGGATAGTTGTGGAGCTTCGTCCAAAGGGATACATATACAAAAGGCTCCCATACACAGCTCTCAAGTAACATTAGCGAAAGGAACCAGAAAGCTTGATAGAGCTAGAGAATCAGGGAGTTTGCTGTGAGCTGTGACTGCTAGTAAAAAAGAAGTTATACCTGTAGACATTATGGTTATTCAAGTATGACTTGAATAAAGGGGACACTGTGACCATGACAAATGGTATGGACAATAGTCCATGAGGCTTTACATCTATAAAAAAAACAAGAAAGGAAAAATAAGTTAATTTGGCAGCAGAAGAGGTGTTTCTCCCTTGGAATGAGCATGCCAACTCCACAAGTTATATATAGGAACTTGTATGTACATACAAATACCAAAACAATTAATGAAAAAAGAAGCCTTGAATTTGAACGAGAACAGGGATATGTGTTTGGGAGGACTTACAAAGGTGAAAAGTATGGAGAGAATGTAATAACTAAAAGTGAATCTCATGTAAAGAGAAAAAAATCACAGAAGAAACTGCCTAGCTGCAATAACACTTACACACACCTTTTAAAAAAAATTGGATATTTTATTTATTTACAATACAGATGTCATCCCCCTACCCCATTTCCTTTCCCTATAACCTTGTATCCCATCCCCCTTCTCCTTTTTCTTTTATACCATTTTAATTACATGCATATATTAAGATCAGTTCTAGGTTGAGAGTCTATCAATACAATAGATGCAAATGATCAAAGAACAAACAAGACAATAAACACAAATAGTCAAAGAACAAGCAAGGCATTGAACCCAGCTACACAAACACTCCTGTGATCACTGTTTCTAAGGGCTTATCAGGATGATCAAAGTATCTGAGCCTACTTCCCTGTCCTAGCCCAAAGTGATTTTCATGTCTGAAGCCTAACTCCTTATTCAAGCCTAAAATTTAGATCCCTGACTGAAATTGCTTCTTTGTTCTAGCCTAATATTTAGATTTCTGCTTGAAATTACTTCTTTGTTCTAGTCTAATGTCTGATTCCTGCCTAAAGCCTACTTCCTTTTCCTTGGCCAATGTCATATTCCTGCCAAGCAACCCATTTCCTTGTCTTGGCCCATGTCAGATTATTGCCAAGCAGCCCCAAAAGCTCTCTGCCTCTCCCCTTTTTATTTCATTTATAAGACTGAGCCTGTCTTAGGTCATTCTGACAAGAATGCCTTCCTTACTCATTATGGAATATGCTTTATCCATATGCACTTCTGTCTTATGTTGGTAAGGATCCATGAGGAATCTTATCTGCCATTGGCTTACCAGCTTGTTAATTTAATAACTCTGTCTGGGGATTGATTTTCAGGTCCAAGCCATGTACTTTGGCTGCCAACATGCTGATGTTGTTAAACAAAAGCTTTCACATGATGGGCAGGAATAAATGTATTGCCAGGACAAAAAGGGCTACCATGATCAAGTTATATATGCCATTCTTGAAGCTTGACCAAAATATATATACTGACTATGACATGGGTAATTTTATCTGCAGTATCTTCCACATCAATGACCAACAGAGCAGCATTCTTGAAATTCATAAGCTCCCTATGTATCATTAAAATATTCAGAGAGGTGTTAGAATCATGCCAAAGATACTGCAAGTGTCTTTAAACTTCTTCCTAGTTAAAATGACTACCACTGTAAATTTTAGAACTAACATGAATCCAATGGTAATTGGAATGACACTCAAAATGGCTCCTTCCATTATTGAACTTCCTTCCAATAATTTGAATACACCATCCTTAAATGGACAATGTAACAATTTATGTTGTGTCTACAATGGTACCATATCTGAAATACCTTGCCATGGAGGAAAACATGACAAGGAAGAACATTCTAAATAGAGCATGAAAGAAGTCAAAATATGGTACAAATTGTAGAATGTTGCTGTTTGTTATTCCAAGAGAAGCACATTCCCTACCAATAAAACTGTACTGTGTCTCAATTAGAGACATAATAGAGCCACAGGCCTGTAATGAGTTACTAACCTGATGAGTTCTGCAGCTGTACCTACTGCTTGCTAATTTGCATTTACCCAAATCACAGATCACTGCCATGAGGATTTCTTCATAGTCAGGTCTCACCCTGTGCTGGAGTCATCCTCATACAGATCATACAAAGACATGAGTGTGTCCACTCAGCTCCTGGCTTTTCTGGTGCTGTGGTTAACAGGTAAGGAAGACCACACTGGAAATGTATTTAGCTTTGTGCAGTCAGTGCTGCTTAGTCGCAGTGAAAATCCTCTTATGAGAGAATTAACCATGTGGGGGTTTGTTTTCAATTTTTCCATCTTAGATGCCAAATGTGACATCCAGATGACCCAGTCTCCAGCCACCATGTCTGCATCTGTGGGACAAAGTGTCTCCATTACATGTCTGGGAAGTGAAGACATTTATGATGCTTTACATTGGTATCAGCAGAAACCAGGGAAATCTCCTCAACTCCTGATCTATGCTGCAAACAACTTGGCAGATGGTGTCCCATCACGGTTCAGCGGCAGTGGATCTGGCAGACAGTATTCTCTCAAGATCAACAGCCTGCAGCCTGAAGATGTTGCAACTTATTTCTGTGAGCAGAGTTATGACTATCTTCTCACAGTGATTTAAGTCATGACATAAACCACCCAAGGAAGCAGAAGTGAGAGCACAGGCTGCCCCAACTGCTCTTGATGTCTCCAGCTGCTCAACTGCGGAGAGTTTTTCTCATTGCTAGGGGTTATATGTCAACTTCATGTTCTTTTTTCTTCTTATTGGATATTTTATTTACATTTCAGATGTTATCCCCTTACCCCATCCCCCCCACTAGAAACCCCCTTTCCCAAATCCTCTCCTCCTGCTTCTATGAGCATGTGCTCCCACATACCCCCCCACTCCCTCCTCTCTACCCTCAAATTCCCCCATACTCAGTGATCAGCCTTCATGGGACCAAGGATCTCCTCTTCCACATATGCTTGACAAGACCATCCTCCCCTACATATACGACTGGAGCCATGGGTCCCTCCCTATGTGCCCCCAGGCTGGTGGTTTAGGGGCTAAACCACCAATGTTATGTTCTTATACAGAGATCTTAGAAAGTTTCCTATGTCCTAAATCCCTGCCAATTTACTCAGGCCTAGTATCAAAACAAGGGAATGCTTCTCATGACTCATGAAAAAGACAGCAACAACAATAACATAAACCTATTCCTGAGTAGCAGAGTTTTGGCAACAGGTAGAATTCATTCGACAAGTTTGTCAACACCAACATCCATACGAACACAATTGGAATTATTTTCCAAGAAAATTTTTATTTATTTATAGGATTAATATCCTGAAGAAGGAGTCTGGAGAGATGGTTAAATGATTAATAACACTGGCTGTTCTTTCATAGGATCTGGATTTGAGTCTAAACTCTCACTTGATTCCTAGTTCTGACAACTCCAATTCAAGGAAAATTGTAAACACTTTTCCTGCCTTTAAATGAGAGAAATTCTACCAGTGTACAGGCAGATAAGCACACTGCCAAGAGTTGAGGAAGCAAACTCAGTTTAATTTGACTTCTTCAACTGGATCAGACTTGGGGAGGCTAGCATCAAGCAATGTATTCCTAAGAAATTTAGACATAATATAGTTTGGGAAAAAAGTTTCCTCATATAATTCAATCTCTGGTAAACAAAGAAATGTAATTACATAGAAACTTATCTCAGAGTACATGTCATTTCTCCCAAGAAGATGAAATTTAGAGATAGGTTATCTGTATGTAATTTCTTAAGAGCCGAAGAAAGGGTCTAGCATGTTCATGGTCATACAGATATGGATGTCATTTTTGTTATTAGTCACCTGGCTGTTAGAGTTTAGAAGAGCCTCTGGTGTAGAGATAATGTAAAACTTACACAGAATATCTTTTCTATTTGTCCCTCCCTGGAAGATCCATGTTTCCCATTCCAGTTTATTCCTCTATCTCTTACTTCAATGAGTCTGTGGATCACACCTTGGTTATCATTTACTTAATGGGTTACTTTTCTATTGCTGTGATAAGACATCATGGCCAAGGCAACTTATCAAAGAAAATTTTAATTTGGGAGCTCTCAGTTCCAGAGGATTAGTCTATGACTAACATGGTGGAAGTATGGTAGCAGGCAGTCAGACATGGAACTGATCTATTAATTAACAGCTTAAATCTTCATCTTCCAATAGGAGACACAGAGAGGCAGAAAGATAATTGGGAGTGGCTTGGGATTCTGAAACCTCAAAGGCCATCTATGTGACAAACCTCCAGTAAGCTATACCTCCTACTTTTCCCAAATAGTACAAAGATTGAGATCCAAGCATGCAAATGTGTGAACTTTAGGAAGAAATTCTCATTCAAAGCACCATAAGTAGGATTTTGCAGATCTAACAATGTAGGGAAAGACTGAGTCAGAGTTGGACAGGTCTGAATAGAGATAACTTAGTAAACTTTGATCCTACTGGATTTGACTTGCAGACACATTCCTTTACAAACAAAACACTTATCCACATATAAATTCACCAAACTGCATGCATTTCACTCACAAAACAAAATAAAACAAAACAAAACAAAAAGAATAACAGCAACAACAACAAAAACAAACAAACAAACATACTAAAAAAAAAAAAGAAGATATGCCATCCCATGGCTTCATAATATCATCTACATGTCCAAATATACTCAGAATGATATAATGCAGTGCTAGTAGTTTCCCAACCCAGGCTACAATGACTATGTATCAAACAGTATTACTTCTTTTAAATGTAACTTTTTTTTTTTTACCTATCCACTTTGCATCCAAAACACTGCCCCCTCAAGGTCACTTCCTCCAACAATCCTTCTTCTATCCCTTCTCCCCTTCTTCTTAGTCAGGGTGAGGTCCCTGAATATCACACCCATCTGCCTTTGCACTTCAGGTCTCTGTGAAGGAAGCTGCTTCCTCTCCAACTTAGGCCAGACAAGGCAGGACAGTTAGTAGAACATATCCCACCTATAGGCTACAAGTATTTGGATACCAACCATTCTAGTGGCTCAGGACCCACATAAAGGCCAAGCTGTGTGAGACAACCCTGACAAATTCGTCATAACAACCAAGGAAACAGAAAGGGCATTTAGAGACACAACCACTTCACTGGTCATGTTGTTCCTGATAGCAAGAAGAGAGTTAAAAACAATTCACAGAAAACCTGCAGAATGTACTGATTAGTAACCAGCTGTGTCCTTGACAGCCCTGGTTAAGTATAGCCCACTAGAAATAATTGCCTGAGTGAGTGTGGCCAGTAAGTTCAAAGGCTAATCAAAGTGTGTAATTTGGTTCAAACAAGTTTTGCTGCTGCTAAAGTCTGTCTATGCTAACGTATAAAAGGTGTGTGCTTCAGAAATTCGAGGTTCTTTCTCCTGCAAGAGTGAAGTGACCTCAAGGCATTGGAATAAAGATTCCTCTTCCTGATTGCATCAATTTCTGTGCACTGTGTGTCCTGGAGTTGAGACTTTCAGATCCAACAGTAAATATCAGGAAAAAGCTTCAGAGGCTAGAAGCACTGCAGGATAAGTCATTTAAGGATTTAGTGCAAGTTGATGAGGAAGTGTATCATAACAGGTAGACAGAGAAAGAGAAAGAGTAGAGAAAGAGAAAGAAAGGAGATGAGAGATGAGAAAAAAGAAAGGCAAGAGAAAAGGAATTTACAAAGAGATATTCTTGGCTACAGTAGTTAGGGAAAGCAGAAAAGGGAGACTCCAATCGAAGGGAGATAGAAAACTCCTTAAGAAGGAACAGTGCACACATTGCAAGTAAAGGAGCCACTGGCACTACAGTGTATTCATGGACTACCTGAAGAATGGTGGACTTAGAGATTAGCTGGGTATCCCATTAATTTATGGCCATCCCAGACTGTATCTACCTTATGTTGGGGTGAGACTTACTCTCCAGGATGGACCCCAGATACACTTCCTGCTCTACAGGCCACAACTAACTGGCCCAAAAGGAGAACCCATGGGTGGAAGAAAGACTTCTACTGACCCCTGCCAGGAGCCGAGGCAACCTGCTTTACAGACAAGAGCAGTTTTCTCCATGCTGGTCAGAGATAAGCTGGTACTGCTGTGGTGGACACTATAAATGTTATCTGGGCTGAAGTTCTACTCCCCTCCCCTGGGTATGTAGGTTCAGAAAGCAGCTTTAGAACTTGGGGTTGGCAAGAAAATTAACATCTACACAGACAGCAGATATGCCATTGCCAGAGCCCAGGTCTACATAGCCATATACCAACAGAGAGGACTGCTTGTATCAGAAAAAATAATGGATCTCTTGGATGCCCTGATGAAGCTGGCAACTGTGAGTACTATTTGTTGCCCAAGACACCATGAAGAGACGCAGTGGTCCGAGGCAATAACCAGACAGATCAAGTGGCTCAAGAATTGGCTATGCAGGACCCTATCCAGGTTATGGGCCTGCAAGAGATAATTGCCTGAATGAGTGTGGCCACTCACACTCACTCACTGGGGAATGGGACTAGATTAAGGGATGGCTTCACTTAAAGCACATGGAAGAAGAAAGGACTCTGATTGCTAGCCACCCTACCAACTATTACCTAAAGAAGAAAGGGCAATAGTGCACAGAAAAAGGGAAAACTATGCTCCCTGGAAAGCAAGCAAAAGACTTACTAAGCCTAATGAGCAGATGAACTCATTTGAGAGATAAATACATTCAAACAGTCAAGGGAGCTAATATATATATATTATGTAGGGTATGCCACCAAGTAAATGATTATGTAGCCAAGAGTAAACAAGGCAAAATACCAAGGGAAGAACAGCCTAGAGCATATTGGGAGGCCAATTTTGCAGAAGTTAAGCCAGAAAAATATGGATACCCTC